TGGTTTGAATCCACCAGCTGCTTCACAGGAGAAGGATGGGTAATTTCCTCCTATGCAATTTACTGCCTCTGAAAACTCACTGGAGTGTCAACTCTGGGTTGGTTCTGACTCAGGGGTACTCAAACAACAACAAATGTATTTGTGAGAATCTGTGAATTCATGAACTCTGGGAAGCTATGTCAAAGAATAAATTGCAGAAACTCTCAGTAAAAGTACTAAGAATTACAAAGAAAACAAATGTAAACTTCTGAGGTCAGCTTTGCTTCTCCAGGTATATACTTTCTGGTGGTTTTACTACATCACATTGTGCTAAAGAAAAGTTCTCATTTTGTGCCCCTGTAAAACAGCAGAGGAAAGTATCCAGGAGTAGATTCCACCATAGACTCATTTTCACCCAGTTGAAACCTCAAATCATTCCATTTGGAGAGAATCAGAAAATCTAATATGTGAGGATGCTTCTGTGGTTCTCTGCAGGCTTATCCAGCTCTTCCATCTCAGCAGTTCACAGGTTTCCTGTGCTGAGTTAATATTTAACCTGGTTGGATCCTTGCTGAGTTCTAAATGATCTGGATTGTGATTTGGTTTTAGCCAGGATTCATTTGATATTAACTTTCCAATGAGTGCAGCTGAGGTAAAGAGCCATCAGGCCTTGGTAAAGTCACCATCCACAGCATCTACATTTGACAGCTGCGAATCTAGATATCTTAACAATATTTCTGAAGAAATGAGAATCTTTTGCCCAGCATGTACTTTGTATTGCTTAAAACAGCTCTGAGGGGAAAAAGAAAACAGCTCTGAGAGTATTTTTCAAGCCTCTCTATATTCCTTTTTAATATTTCATTAAGATCTGGTAGCAATTCTATAAGATATCTAGTAAGACATATAGATCTAATCTTGATCAAATCAACATAATACATTTTTCTCTCAGAGCCAGTTTTGGTTGACTCAGCACACATGGTCTAAGTTATACTTACTCATCAGAGTCATTAGGTAAACTATAAATGAATGGCTCCAACCCACAAGGAGCATTGAGAATAAGAGCTATATTTTATTTATCCTATTTCCTCCACCAGGAGCCCTAATGTCATAGCATATAAGATATTGGGCAGCTAACCAAAAGAAGAAAGATGGGAAGTCTTCTCACATTAAGATTTATAGCCCCAAAAATAAGATGGAAGGGGATTTTTTATCATTCCACTCACATCACTAGCACAGTGCCAGACACTGGTATCTAAAACATTTTGCTAACTAGAATAGAAGCACTGAATCACAGTTCCCTTTACTTTCTTGCTATCCATTCTTGTTTATGGGAAAAAAAACACAACAACAACAAACAATGCAACACTTCCAACAACAGTTCCCGTCCTGTTGATTCTGACTCATGACAATCATGTGTGTGTCAGAGTGAAAGTAAATTCCCCGGGCTTCTCCATGGCTGGGATATTTCAGAAGGGAGCCCTGGTGGCATAGTGGTTAATCTATTAGCTGCTAACTGAAAGGCCAGTGGTTCACCAATGACTCTATGAGATGTGGCAGTCTGCTTCCATAAAAATTTACAGCTTTGGAAACCTTATGAAGCAGTTCCATTCTGACCCACAGAGTTACTAAGAGTAGGTAGCAACTTGACAGCAATTAATTTGGTTTGACTGCTGTTCAGAAGAAGATTGATATATCTCTGGGTGGATCTGAACAGCCAACTTTCTGTTTAATTCCTTAATATCTGAGAGTTCTTTCAGTAGCATAGTACATAATGAGTGGTACTGCTCACCCAAAGGCCATGTGCCTCTGGGGGTCCAAATCCACTGGCAACTCCATGAAAGAAAGGTGAATAGTCTCCTCCCACTGCAATTTACAGTCAAGGAAACTAGACAGAAGGTCAACTATGAATCACAACCAACACTGTGAGAGTGACCTTAAGTACCTGTTTGATAAATATTTGGATGCTTAACCATTGGCATCACCGAATCACACCGATGTGTATTAAGACAATGCTGGCCCATGTGCAGCAGAGTAGGGCTATGCTCCATAGCATTTTTAAGCACAACTGAGCCAATAGGTGAAATCATGATACATGGAGAAAAGATTCAAGTTGTCAGTAAGTTCATCTTACTTGGATCCACAATCAACATCCTTAGAACAAGCAGTCAAGAAATCAGAAGACATATTTCATTGGGGAAATTTGCTATGAAGGATCTCTCCAAGGTGCTAAGGTGCAATGATGTCATTTTAAAGACTAAGGTACACCTGATTCAAGCCATGATCTTTCAGTTATTTGCTATGTATCTGAAAGTTGGACAATGAATAAAGATAACCAAAGAAGAATCCATGTCAAAGTTGTTTTGTCCAACCACAAATGAACAGATTGAGAAATTATGATACATTCACACAATAGAACACTACACAGCACACAGGAGCAATGATTTTTGTAAATTATTGCCTAACTTGGGAAGGAACGGAGATCATTATACTGAGTCAACTAACTCAATCCCACAAGGACAAATATTGTATAAAACCATTATTGTAAAATGAGTATAAGGATCCAAGAGGGGTCGAGGAAGGTGGAAGCAGAGGGATGAGAATGTGCAGGGGGAGGGGGAATTAGTGATGGAGTTGTACAATTGGAAGAATCTGTTCTTGAAATAAATGTATTCGAATTTTGTAAATAAACTAGTATTAAAAAAAGAAATACTGTAGAGAAATCTAACTGATTTTTGTACATTGATCTTGTATCCTGCTACTTAGCTGAATTGGTCCACTGTGTCCAACAGTTTTCTTGCTGAGTCTTTAGGGTTTTCTAAGTATAGTATCATATCATCTGCATGGAGAGATAATTTTACCTCCTCTTTGCCAATTTGGATACCTTTTATTCCCTTCTCTTGTCTTCTTGCTATCGCTAAGACTTCCAATACAATATTGAATAAGAAAGGTGATAGTGAGCATCCTTGCCTAGTTCCTGTTCTTAAAGGGAATGCGAGAGGGGAGAAAAGTGCAACAATGAATGAATGGAAATCCAAAGTCTCTGTAAATTTTCATTGCAATTAATAATAAATTTTAAAAAGAAAAATAAAAAAGAAATGCATAAAAATAATATAAATAGGTGATTGTGCATTATGGGTATGACAACAGCCCAGAATAAGAGATATATTGCAAAAAGGACTTGGGAAGGTGTGGGAGAGGGGTAATTGTGGGACAATGAAAGAACATTTTTTAAAAAGTGAACTGGGGGAGGAGAAAGGGCGAGAAGTGGATAATATTTGCAATAATGAATGATTAAAAAATCTAACTCTTCTGTAAACTTTCATTAAAATCACAATTAAAATTAAAAAATTGTCTTTAAAAAAAACAACACGGTATGTATTTATAAAGCAATGCTACACAACCATAAAGAAAAAGACATTGTTCTTGTAGAGAGGGAGGATCAATGAGAAGAGAGGAAAAGGCTTGACAAGATGGATTGGCCCAGTGATGGTCACAATAGCCTTGAGTGTATCAGAGCTGGTGAGGATAGGGCAAAGTTCAGATCTGTTGTTCAAAGGGTAGCTATGAATCATAATCAACTCAATGACACCTAACAACAACAATTTCTCAGAAGTCTACAACCAGGTTGTCTTCTGTGGTGCCTCTAAGTCAACTAACTTTTCCATTAGTAGCCAAGCTAAGAAGTTCTTGCTTGTGAAAAGCTGTAAAGAATAAATCAAGTATTAATAAATGTAATATTATCATCCTATTGGTTTCCTTCAAACTCTAAATGGTAATGACTCCTTATACTTTTATACTATGATATTCCCATTAAGTTTGTAATGTCCTAATACATAAAGCTGGAGGCCTATTTAGTTAGTGTGTGATAAATAATTACTGAGCCAGACTTAAAGCACTTGCAGGTCAAAGACTGTAGTCTTCAATATATTGAAGGTCAACATCAAGAAGACAGTTTCTCACCACTGGACCAATTGGCAGCACCATGATGGATGAAGAAGAGATGGAGTTTGTTAACAGTTACAGCTTGCTTGGCTTCACAATCAATACTCTTGACATCAGCAGTTAGGAAATCAAAAGACAAATTGCATTGGGTAAATCTGTTGTCAAGGACCTTTTGAGAGTACTGAGAAGCAACAATGTCAGTCTAGAGATTAAGGTGCGCCTAATCCAATTCATGGTCTTCACAATTACTTGTTATGCATCAGAGAGCTGAACAATGACTAAGGATGACAGAAGAAGAATTGATGCCTTTGAAATGTCTTTAACATATCATGGACCACCAAGAAAACAGATAGGTCTGTCTTGGAAAGTGTGAAACTAAGTTTCTCCTTGAAGGCTAGGATTTTGAAGCTCCATATTACATACTTCAGGCTCGTGACCAGGAGGAACTATCCTTGGAGAAGGACAACATGCTCGGAAAGGTGGAGGGACAGTGCAGAAGAGAAAGACCACAGATGAGATGGATTGTTACAGCGACTAGGGAAATGGAGGTAGGTGTGTCAGAATCAGTGAGACTGGCTCAGGACAAGGCAAGCTTCAGAGCTGTTGTATGTAGGGTCACTATGAGTCTTAGATAATTCAACAGCATACAACAATGACAACAATTAAATAACTGCCTGCTAGTTTGTGTTTCTTGTAATATCACATATTTGTATCCTTGGTTTCCTTACACTTGAATAGAGAGCTTTGATGGAATAATAATAATTAATTCTTTTCTAATTATTACTAGAGTTGCTGTGCTAATTCAAAGGCCCCTCTGGAGGATTGACTCCACCAGTGACTCCAAAGGAGAAAGGCAGGCGATCTCCTCCCACGTGATTTACAGCCTCCCAAAACCCTCTAGAGGTTTCGCTAGTCAGTTCCAAAGCTATGGCCATGAGTTTGAGCTTAAATTTTTATTCTTGAATAATCTAGTAAAAAGAAATTATCTCTCAAAAGGATGTTATCAACTGAAAGACACTTATCTTTCATTTGCTGATCCTGTAAATGATTTGTTATTTCTTACATTTTTTTTTCTACAGGTATAAATAACTTCAAAGGACAATACTTTCATAGCCGACAGTATAAGCATCCTGATATATTTAAGGACAAGAGAGTCCTTGTAGTTGGAATGGGTAACTCTGGCACAGACATTGCTGTGGAAGCCAGCCACCAGGCAAAAAAGGTACAGTTCTTGGCGTTAAGGAAGAACTATCCCCACGCAACACATTGTTGTGTGTCTCTGGCAAACAACGTTGAATTCACTATACCATACATAATAAGTGATAAAAGGAATTAAAAATGTCTAGAATATGTATGTTGTTGTTAAATGTTGTTAAGATGGAACTGACTCATAGCTGATCCTCCAGGGGATTTCCAGAGGCAATAAATCACCTGGAAGGAGAATGTCCATCCTTCTCCCTTAGGATATGTATACACATAAAATGGGATTTTAAAAGTATTTCTTTTTGCTTCTTTGGAAATTCATTGTAAATCTTATGTGTTAGATTTCCTCTAGAACCAGATTCTCTACCTTAGTAGGTTTGTAATTTTCCCAGTCGTCCAACAGGGACCACAAGACAAAGATTTTCCTTACTCAGTCCCATGGGGCAGAAAATTTTAGTAATTTTTCCCTGCAAAGTTCTCCCATTTTTCCATTTCAATCCATTATATGAACTTCAATAGGATCATATCACCTCACACTATGGCTAAGAATGTATGCTCCCAACAATAATTGTAGAGATAGTTAATAGTTAATAATTTAAGAGAGCTTACTCTGTGCCAAACACTGCACTAAGAACATTAGGTCATCACCTCGACCAGTCATTAGAACAAGACACTGAAGTAGCTATTACTGCTGTTTTAACTCAGTGATTTAACTCTTAAATTACAGTCTCTCCAAGGCTGTAATCTTTGCAGAAGCAGATCATCAGTCAGGGTTTGAACTTCTGACCTTTCATTTAGCATCTGAGTTAAGCATTGGATCCCATGGCTTTGTAGTACTAGCAGCATTCCTGATTACATTTGAGAAACTTATATAAACCACCTACATTACATCATACCATTTGTAGGTAGCACAGCTAGTCCTCAAACCCAAGTCTCTGATTCAAAGTCCATGCACCTAAATATAACTGTTCCCCATATGCCTGTACTGCTACCTACAGTCCATCCTCCAATGGACAAATCCTACCTCCAGCCATCCACAAGTAGTTCCTCTAAAAGCCTGCTCTTATTATGACATGGCATTGTTGACAAAGTTTCAATAATGCACCTTTACTGGAACAATAAATTATAGACATATTAAGCCTGCATTGTAAAATACTCCAGAATTTGGCTCAAGTCTCCCATCTTTACTTTACCCCTCACAATATACCTGGACCACTCTCAACTGTAGTCAACCAGGTCTCTTCTGATGCCCAAGGTCCCAAATGCCCTTTCCAGATCCTGAATCTTTGTTCCACCACCTTTTCCCAGTTCTCCCCAGTTCAAGACCCTTCTCCCTCTCTCAGCATCTTATTCACACAAAGTAGCCTCTAGCTATTCAGAATTTCAGTAATAAATATATTTTGCTTTGCTTAGTTAACATTTTTATACTCTTAGCACACCTAACTATTCTTCTATAGTGTATATCCTATCTGATTAGAAAATAAACTAATATAAATTGCTGTGTTCCAGTGTGTTGAGTGTTGTAACAGACACTGATGATACACCAGAGAATAAGTCATGAATAAAACAAGACGCCCACTCACTGTTGTAGAGCACACCGTTCTGTCTGTTAGGTGCAGCAGAGTTAGCTCGGACTCATAACCTCCCTGTGTACCATCACAACAAACAAGTGACTATAAATAAATCACACCAAAACCCAAACTCGCTGCCCTTGAGTTGATTCTAATTCATAATGACTCTCCAGAGTTTCCAAGATTGTAAATCTTTACAGGAGAAGACTGCTCATCTTTACCCCTCAGAGCAGCTCATGAATTCAAACTTCCAACCTCACTGCAGTCTAACACATTATAGATATAACTAATTAAAGAAATAGGGAGCTATAGTGGTCTAGTGGTAAGGAGTTGCACTGCCAACTCAAAGGCTCATGGTTCAAATCCACTAGCTGCTCCACAAAAAAAAAGATGGGCAGTGTCCTGCCATGTGATTACTGACTCTGAAAACTCACTAGAGAGTCAGCTGTGAGTCAGTTCCGACTCAATCATAATACCATAATATATATGAAGAAACTCTCATCAGATTAAAACATAATTCATGTTTACCAAAATGTCATATCAGATTCAGCGTCATGACACAGGGAGGCCAGTTCATCACAAATTTATCTAATGTCAGAACCACATAGGCATCTAGAATTCTTGCCACCATATCTCTCATGTTACATGCACTGTTATAGGCCACACCCTTAGGAAATTCTTTTCTATTGATCAGGGCAGTGATGGGGGATTAAAGAGTGTTGAATGCACCAATAGCTGACCCTCCAGCAGGTTTTCCAAGGCAGTTAATCTCACTGGAGCAGATTGCCAATCTTTCTGCTACAGAGTAGCTGGTGGATTTGAACCATGTGCTATGGGGATTGTAGCACAGCTTCTTAATACTAGGCCACCAGAGCTCCCTAAAGAGTGGTAGAGTCCACCTTTAATCCTTTTATAACTATTTGATTTACAAAATCATGCAGAATCCTTACATAGTTTCTACATTATACCATTACATATATACAATTTGGGGGGTGGGGACACAATTTAATCTGCAACAATAGCCAAGTTTAACCATTTGTACCAACTAGGGATTCCTTGACCTATAATAGGGCTCGATATGTCTTAAGACATTTTAATACCATAGATATACAAGGGACACTCTAGGAGCTGTTCATAGGGAGTTGCACTGCTAACCTTTATAAAGACTGCTCAAATTTACCAGCAGTTCTTCAGGACAACAATGGGAAATCTCCTCCCATGCAATTTTCAACCTTGGAAACCCAGTGAAGAAGTAGAAATGAGTGATTGTGAGTGAGAGATATGCAAATGATTGCCTCAAAAGAACAACTTTAAGAAAGACTACCTAGTCGGGAATGTCTTTTGAAATTAGCAAACTTTTAAGGGCCTTCCAATTCATGGTACCTGGTCTTACACTTTCAGCCGGGCCAACCCTGTTCACACGTCCAATGGAGTGACCTCTGATTTTCTCTAGGTGTTCCTCAGCACTACCGGAGGGGCATGGGTGATCAGCCGAGTCTATGATTCAGGATATCCATGGGACATGGTGTTCATGACACGATTTCAGAACATGTTCAGAAATGCTCTTCCAACTCCAATTGTGTGTTGGCTGCTGGGAAAAAAGATGAACAGTTGGTTCAACCATGAAAATTATGGCTTAATTCCAGAAGACAGGTAATTTCAGTCTCACTGCCAAGGGCTGTTGGAAAGAGGGAGCCTCAGCCCTTCCAGTGACACTTAAAAACCAAAAAATAACACAGCAATGTGGTTGACTATAAAGGTAAACTACTCAACATTTTCATTATGTAGCAAAAACTGTTTTTCTTGAATGTCAAATAAATGAAATGAGATCATTTCTTCTTGTAAGTAACTTTTTCAGTCCTATCTTAATCTTCATGTTACTATTGGTACCTGGGGCTTCATTAAAGCCCTGCCACTTCCCAAGCTAATTCAGTAGTGGCCCTGGGCAAGTTTAAAAGCCTCAGTGGCCACAAGCAAAAGACAAGGATTTATCTATAACTTCTGAGAGCTCTGGTGGCCTACTGTGCAGGGTATTGCACAGCTAACCACAAGACGGTGTCTCCAGCAGTTCAAATCCACCAGCTGCTCCACAGGAGAAAGATGGGCTATGTCTTCCTGTTATAATTACAGCCTCAGAGGCCCAACGGAGGGTTGCTATGAATCAGAACAGACTCAGTGGGAGTGAGTTTGAGTTTTTCATGTTTTGTTTCTAAAGGCAACACTCTTCCTTAAGTTGTGGTTTGAGAAAAATTGAATCCTATGTTGATCCTCTGAAGATTTCTGATGGCACAATGATTAAGCACTTATTCTTGAATTGAAAGGTCAATGGTTCAAAACCACCAGCTGTTCTGTGAAAGAAAGATGTGGCAATCTGCTTCCGTAAAGACCACAACCTTGAAAATCCCAGGGGGCAGTTGTACTCTGTCCTTTAGGGTCGCTGTGAGTTGGAATCAACCCTATGGCAGCACTTATTTGATTGGTTTTGTTATGGTTGTCCTTTATCATCTCCCTAATGACGTTGTCTTCTAGCCCTTGTCCACATGGTCTGTATTTCAATCGAGAAATGAAGGTTTTACATTCTAATTGGTTAAGTTTGTACAGTAGCTTTTTATTACCAAGGTAACCCCACAGCCTGGTGAGCCTGTCTGGTTTCCCTTGCTATTTCACTCTGGAAATTAACCAAATATAAAGTAACATTTAGCCCAACACTGATTGACAAGCACACCCTTTTCTAGTATACATACCTGATTTAATCTTCATCCTTCTCATGCATACCTGCTTCTTTCCCCTACTCTCCTCTTCATCATCTCCATATTTCCCCCACTTCTTCCCTCCTTCTTACACTTCTACATCCAGGCCTCTCAGAGATTTTAGCCTTATCTATCAGGTTTTCATATCATAATCTTTGTCTAGCTTAGATGGTAGCTTGTAGAAGTTTGTTTATCGCTGTAAGCCCTGGGAAATTCAAAATGAACCTTAAAAGTCATGAGCTTTTGCTTGTAACTTACATTAGGTTAATTCTTTACCATTTCTAAAGTTCTTGCCTATATACTATTTCTTATACTTTGATTCCATTCAATGACCTAGGGATGTCAGATGTTAATATCCGTATTTCATATGTGTATAATTGGAAGGCCTATGCCCTAGTAAGTCTGAACATTTGGACAAGAATTTATCCTTATCTCTCATTCTAGTCTTCTTTCCATGTTACCATACTGTCCTTTTTCTGTATTCAACATAAGACAAAAATTACTCTGAGTATATATAATCATTTCTCAAAGTGCTTGTCTTATGATTCCAATGTTATATAGCCAGAAAAAGACAAGTCTGCTCTTGCTTCTTTTAAGCATATTTTTCTTTTCCTTACGCAATTGCCCCCTAGAAAGAGGCACTGAAAGAGCTTCCAATCATTCTCAGTAGACATAAATCCTGGCTTCCTCTGCGGTCCTTCAGCATTCTGCTATCACTAAAATGGCACTGATCACTGAATGCTAAAATTCAGTGAGGAAAAGCGGAGCTAGAGAAAGCTCTGACAACTATCTCCTCAGGCTTCCAAACTCCAGCACATCTGATAACCCTTCCTGCACATTCACATGTCTGCTTCAATAGAGAAAACTGATCTCAAGACAAAAAACTCAACTCATTGACACCAAGTAGGATCTGACTCATAGCTGTACCTCCGTTGGGTTTCCAAGGCTGTAAACTACCTGAGAAGAGATTGCCCGTTTTTCTCCTTGGGAGTCAGTGGTAGACTCAAGTGCCAGAGAGATGTGTCCTTTGGGTTAGCCATGCAACTTCCTTTGGACTACACCCTCAGAGCTACCTCTCCCAAGATGAGCAGCTCTAAAGAGGAGAGGCCAGGAATGAATCCAAGAAGGAAAAGAGGAGGGAGGACTGGGTGTATTGTTCCCTGGCAGACCACTTCTTTGTCTATATTTTTATTTAGGGTTCAATTGAGAGAGCCTGTGTTAAATGATGAGCTCCCGGGACGTATCATCACTGGGAAAGTGATCATCAAGCCAAATATAAAGAAAGTGAAGGAAAACTCAGTCATATTTAATAACATCCCAAAAGAAGAGCCCATTGATATCATTGTCTTTGCCACTGGATACACATTTTCTTTTCCCTTCCTTGACGAGTCCATAGTGAAAGTTGAAGATGGCCAGGCATCTTTGTACAAGTATATTTTCCCCACTCATCTGCAAAAGTCAACTCTAGCTTTTATTGGAATCATCAAACCCTTGGGTTCCATGATACCCACAGGAGAAACGCAAGCTCGCTGGGCTGTTCGAGTTCTTAAAGGTAAGGGTATAAGAAAGAGGGGGAATATATATTTTCAGTGTGAAACATGATTGTGGGTACTAGAAATTTTGAGACCATCCCTGGCTCCCAACCTGGGGCAGTAGAATTTTTAAAAGGAGGATCTATCCTATTGTTCACTGAATTACACTATCATAATAACTTTGTGTCTATCATTACGAATACAAAATTTCAATAAGAAGTAAAAAAAAAAAAAATGAGCTGTATCTTTGTTTTACTATGGCATGATTTGACTGAATCAACTTTTTCCACTCAAATAAGAAACTTTCAGAAACTGACAAAATGCTATCAAACTGGCTGTAATCTCCTGCCGTATTAAATAACAAAGACTCCTCTTTTCAGCTGGTTTATCACCAGGAGATACGACCAGTCAGTTCAAGCTGTTAAAAGTTTTTCCAGGACAGATGACTAGCTAGGTACTAAAATCAGAGATAAGAGCATTTTTATCCACTTTAAATACTTGTTGTTAGGTGTCGTTGAGTAGACTTGACTCCTAGTGACCCTGGGAACAATGGATCTGAACCTTGTCCTATCCTGTGCTGTCCTCGATATCTGTAATATACTCTGTTATATAGCTCAATGCTGTAGTCACTGTGTCAATCAATTTTGTTGAGGGTCTTCCTCTCCTTCACTGTCCCTTCATCTTTATAAGCATGATATCTTTTTCCAAGGACTGGCCCCTCCTAACAACATAGCCAAAGTATGTGAGATGGAGTTTCACCATCCTTGCCTCTAAGGAACACCTTTTCCAAGGCATATTTATTTGTTCTTTTAGCAGTCCAAAACACCTACCCCTATATTTTTATTTGTCTCATAGGTGTGAATACATTACCACCACCCAGTGTCATGCTAAAGGAAGTTAATGCAAGGAAAGAAAACAAACCCAGTGGGTAAGTTAACAACTTATGCATCCTATCAGAGTAAAAGTTGAAATTGATAAGACTAGAGCAAATAAAGGTAAGAGTGATATTTAAGGGGAAAGATGCATCTTAGAAGGGGGAAAAAATCCTTCAGTTTGTTTCAGGGAAGAGTGGAGAAAGGGATATCAAGAAGTGCTTAGGTCTTCAGCTTTTTTTTTTTTTAAATTATGGTTCACTAACACTCCATGTTGGAAGGAGGAGTGGCATCCACTTCCATAATAGCTTGCCTCCGGAAACCCTATGAACCTGGAGAGAGAATGAAAGGCATCCAAGTGTTGAGGACTCTCCTTCATAGGGTCGCTTGTGACTCGACGGCACTTAACAACAAACAACAACACTCCATGGAGTTGAGTTTCTAATGTTCGCAAACATGCTGCTACATGATTCTACCTTATCCATAACCATAGGCAAAGAAGTACAATCTGAGACTAAATATATCTGCTGAACATTCATTTATCAAGTCTTTATTCAGCTCTGTTTTAGTTTATTTAGATCACTGTTTTCAGGGGAATTCTGGTGGTAGTCCATAACAAGGTGCGCTGCTAACTCAAACACTGAGTGTCTCTCATGGTTCAAATTCACCAGCACTCCTGAGGGGAAAGATGGTCAGCCTACTCCCACTGTGATTTAGTCTCAGAAACCCCAATGGAAGGTCACCTCCCAAAGGAGATGGTCCTAACACAATAGCAGTGACTTTTGCCTTCTCAACAGGGCTCTGTAACTCTTGTGGCCAAATCTAGTGAGACATTTGTATTTAAATTTCACATTTTTGAATGGGTTTTAAAAATAAAAAGAATGTTTCATGACATGTGAAAACAATATGAAATTCAAATTTCTGTGGTCAGAAAATGAGTCTTACTAGGATGTGGTCACCCTCATTTCTGTATGTTTTGTCTTTGGCTACTCTCACACAACAGCAGCAGAGTGGAATAGTTAAGACAGAAACCATTACACAGTCCTCAAAGTCTAAAATATTTACCATCTTTAGTAGAGTACTTTTGCTGAAAATTCCTGAAAAATAGAACTACACAATGGAGAAGGGTTTTGTCTCATATACCACTCAATTATTTAAGTTTGAGCATAATGGGAAATTCTACTCCAGTAATTGCTGCAGCTTTTTGATTATACAAACCTGTCAATTGTTGAGGGTTAGAAAAACTTGAGAAGAGTAAAATTATGTGAACAATATTTTCCTCTAAAAACTGGTAACACTAGATGAATCAGGAGCAGATAGAGCACCCAATTAAAGCACAGCTATACAGTGTCTTTTCATGTGATCCATTTTCTATTTAACAATGAGATTACTGGACAGCTAAGCAAGAGAAGAACACAGAAATCAGTCCTTTTCTGCAGCATCATTTGTTTTCCTGTTCTAAGATCACCATTGTTTATCTATGTTTTCTCTCTTCCCTACTTTTCCTCCAATAAAGGTTTGGCTTGTGCTACTGTAAGGCTTTACAGTCAGATTATATCCCATACATTGATGAACTTCTGACCTACATCGACGCAAAACCCAACCTGTTCTCCATGCTCCTGACAGATCCACGTCTTGCTTTGGCTATGTTCTTTGGCCCGTGCTCACCGTACCAGTTCCGCCTGACTGGCACAGGGAAATGGGAAGGAGCCAGAAATGCCATTCTGACCCAGTGGGACCGAACATTCAAGGCCACCAAAACTCGAGTTATACAAGAATCTTCATCTACCTATTCAAACTTACTCAAACTCTTTAGCTTTCTGGCTTTGCTCATGGCCATTTTCCTGATTTTTCTATAAGTGAATTATTTACTAACTGGCACAGAAAAGATTTAGGGTGCTCTGAATTACTGCCTCTGAAAATCACGGGGAAGTCAGCTGTAGATTGATTCTGACTCAAAAGCATACAACAACAACAGTGTCTCTATTGTAGCAAGATCACCTTCACTGCCATAGGTTACCCTGACTGCCCCCAGGGATATCAGTGGCATTACTGAGCCTCTCCTAGATTACCTGTGCCTAATGCTAGAAAATAACAACCAAGTTTTCATGCATTTCGAGGCTTCTGGAAGGGTCCAAATTTATTGTAGGAGAGAGCTGTTCTAGCTCTTCTACCTCTTTCACATATAAGCTACCTTCTTAAATCTCCACTAAGACTCCCTACTTTGCAGAGGATTGAGTTATACTGAAATGGTGCTCTTATTGTCCCAGCTGATTAAAAATAAAGAAAGCTTAAAACCTGATTGTTTCAATTGGTCATTTGTTCTCTTTGTAAGGGTTAGGAAGAGATAAAGAGAAAGAAAAAAATTGGATGAAGATTCTGTAAGCAATGGGGAAATCAAAGAGTGAGTGAAACAACAACACAAAGCTGAAGTATATGAAAAACATTTTTACCAGCGTGGGACTGCTCATTCTTCTAGAACGTATTCTACAATAAAACAGGTTACTCCGGCCTGCAAAATAAAGAATCAAACTAGATCTACCCTGCATAATAGAAAACAACAGCCCCTCTCACTTCTCCTGGAGTGGCCCTCCAATGTCTCGAGGAAAACATCTCCTGGTCAGTCCCCTCTTACAGCACTGCTTTAAAAGAGTAAATGAGACTGTCTTCTCATAAGTGTAATCCAAATCCAGTCAAAGTTCATTGAGATTCAATCAGGAAAGGATACAGTCAAGAAATATTTAATAGAAACAGCAAGGATAAAGGAAAGGAAAGAAAAAACAGAGTAAAGGAAACATTGTCAAAAGCCGTTTTGACAATTTTAGTTAGACGCAATCCTTCATTTTTTTCACACAGTTACATTCAGATGAAGATGTGACTTAGTTAGGAAAGGTTTTACCTTCAAACTATTTCATTGATGGACTCAGATGACAAATCCACCTCACAGAGAAGTGCATAGTTTAGGACTGAGGGGAGAGTTTAAAAAATTATAGAAACAAAAAAAGAGTGGGCTCAGTTGACAGACAGATGCAGGGAGCATCTCTTCAACTTCAGTCTTCTAGTCACTCATATTTCCTCAGTGTCCATTTGTTTGTTTGTTTGTTTTAACTACACTTAGGAAGCACTGGTGGCTTAGGGGTAAGGAGTTGTGCTACTAACTCAAAGGCATGTAGTTCAAATTCACCAGCTGCTCCATGAGAGAAAGATGAACAGTCTTCTCTTGTGTGATTTACTGCCTCTAAAATAAAACCCACCAAAAGTCAGCTATTGGTTGGTTCCAATCTTATGGTACATAACAACGTAAGGGTAAAGATTTCACTTCTTAACAGAGCTATTCATGATAGTTCTTACTCCCAGAAAAGCTCTAGAGCAGTATGTCTCTAAGAGTTGGCTGCAGTTCAGGAACCCAGGCAAGATACAGAAAGGGAACCCTCCATGGCCACAGAGATAAACCAAGGGGACATACACTGGGTGCTAAGCCAATCTCATCTACCCTATTGAAAAACTGAATACACAGAATTATCATTTTGATACACATCATTTATGACTGCATAATTGTGATCCACAACCACTGCAGCAATCAATTCAAGAAGCCAAATCACAACCCAGAACCCAGTAAAGGGCCCAGAACAGTCAGGGCTTAGTCAATAACTGGTAGTTTTCTTAGTTTTTGTTCCACTCCTAACTCAGGACTAACCAGAGAAATTCAAATGTGCTCCCTACACGATACTCTACTTCTAGTCACCTCCAGCTTCCCCATGCCAGTATTTTCCAATTACAGCATAGATGCAATCCTCCCTAATTTCTTTATTATTATTTTTAATAAAAGTTTACAGAGACTTTGAATTTCCATTCATTCATTGCTTCCCTT